TTACTTTACATAAAGCTTAGCCAATTATTTATTTGGAGGCCCCAAACTCACATATTCCCAACACTGCTTGTGCACGTAAATGGCCTTTTTCTGCCTCGTTGGTAAACTGGCTCATTTAAAGCCTATTTGTCTTTTATTTCCTTGACACACTTCATAAATGTGACCACAGCTTTTACGGAATCATGCTCGCTTCTCGCTGTGAACAATACTTAGATGCTTTATAATTTTTTTCCAATTCTTCATTATGAACATCACTTTAATGGATCAATGATTTTTAGAAAATCTTATTGCTTACTATTCTATTCTAGATACCTTTATCCTGGTGGACTATCTGAAAATCCTGACCTCAGTGACCTAGCAGGCCAGTGTGTCAGACATCTGCTACGACTCTCACAGTTAGAGGACTACGACACTCTCGAAACGTTTCGCATATGTAATATATGTGAGGAGGGCGAAAAGAACACGCGGCTGGAGCCTTGTGGACACCTCGCTTGTATGGCATGTGCTAAGAAATGGATGGTAAGTCGTTCTGAAATTCAACTATGAGTGCAGACTGCCGTTTTCTTCTAGTCAGTTCAGCAATTAGCTTATTGCTTTCTTGCAATGCCATTGCTGAATTAAAAAAGCTACTTTTTTTCCTTCATGTTTTAAATTCTTTAAGAGCACTGTGCTATAAGAAAATTTAAGATATCTTGAAGCGTATTTTATTTCATATTATTTTGTTTCAAACTTATTTTATGAATTCGAAGAATACACGAATTTAAACCAGAATAGAGTGGTTCTTCTCTTTTATTAATGCGTGGGTAAGGTAAAACTAAAGTGACCACAGCATCGGAAAACCAGTATATTAAGCCAATTTGACCTCAATACAGAATACCATCTACGTTCAATATCCACAGCCAGCTGAGCAAACAATGACCAATCCCAGTTGGTAAAAGTTAAATCGGAAGACCAGTTTCAAACGGCAGTCTTCATTGGAAGCTGCCGCTTCTAAATCACTTTTTTAGATTAAAAAACAAATGTAAACAAAACAAGAGTAAACAATTGTAGGTACATGAGCCAAACAATACTGAAATCTCACCGTTGAAGATGAGAAGAAAGCCTTGTTTACAGATGAATCAAAATGTGAAGTTTGCTGTTGCAATTGGAGAGCTTATATGAGGAAGTGGCCGCATGAGAGGTTAAAACAACAGTTATACAACTTACAGTCAACGGTGGTTGAAATATTTCAATGTAGGGCTGTTTTGCTTATTATAGAGATAGTGACTTGCATAGGATTAACTGCACATTGACCAAAGATAAGTATTACTCTATTCTGCAGAGGCATGCCTTCCCCTCTGGCTTAAGTTATATGGAAGAGGATTCATTTGATAGCAGGGCAATGATGATAAACAGGCATCTAAGTTATACCAGGCCTATTTTAAGTTGTAAGGAGAGTAAGAAGTGCTTTTTACATAACTTTCCCTCTTTACTCAGGCCAAATAGAGTGCAATAGGTGGCTAGGGCAAAATTTGAATACATTTTTACCATCAGTTAATACAGACAAACTTTTATTGAGAGATTATGTGATTTCGTTTGAAAATTATCAACCAAGCGGAAATTTGTATTATGTATTTTATAAATGATTAAAAAACAGTTCCTAGTATTGGACTCATATTTTTAGGCTATATTGTATCTCTTGATAATTTTATCCAGGTTGCCATAACTAAAGTTCCTCTAATTGTTATAAAAACTTTACATGTCTCTTTGATATACACGTTACACCGTCATGACAATGAATGACTAATTAAATCAGATTCAGTTATCAACCCCTTAAACAAATTGCTGGAGGAGGAAGAGGATATGAGTCACCTTATTCTAATGCTTTACTAGGCCAAAAAAAACAACCAAAGCAAGATTTATATAGCACCTTTTTTCAATTCCACAATCTC